CATCATCCCCATCACCACCCATCATCTCCATCAACCAGGACCTTCTCTGAACCATCATCTCCATCACCCATCATTCATCTCCATCAACCAGGACCTTCTCCCACCATCATCTCCACCACCATCCATCATCTCCATCACCCAGGACCTTCTCCCACCATCACCACCCACCACCTCCACCCCCATCCACGCCCTCCATCACCCAGGACCTTCTCCCACCATCATCTCCACCAACATCCATCATCTCCATCACCCAGGACCTTCTCCCACCCGTCCCACCAGCCCGAGGACCTGGCTGTAGAGGCACTTCTGGCACTGCTGCGCGTCCCGCAGGAAGAGGTGGAAGACGTGGGACTGCACCAGGAGCTCCCTCCTGCTCTCCCAGCTCTGCAGGAGCTTCCCCCAGCCCGCGTCCAACTTCTGCAGCCACCGCTGGAGGGACACGTGGGCCACCTCCATCTCCTCCAGGGCCAGCAGCTCGCTGGCCGCCTGGAGCTTGGCGTAGTCCTCCTCGTAGCCGTTGATCTCCTCCTTGAGGGCCACGTGGACGTTCAGCAGCCTCTCGGCCTCGGCCAAGCTCTCGGGGACCTCCTCGGAGCCCACGGCCGCTTGGGTCTTCACCAACCACCCCAAGAAGTTGTCCAGGTCCTGGATGAACTGCTGGAGACGGCCGGCGACCGTCAAGGTGTCCTCGCAGCCTTGGAAGGTCCTCTTGAGGTCGTCCCACTCCTGGCCGATCTCCTCGAAGGGCAGCAGGATCTCCAGGGCGCGGCCGGGGTGGGCGGCGGCCAAGGCCTCGCCCTCCTGCTGGAGCTCCACCAGCCGTGGTTCCAGGGCCACCAGGGCGGCCTCCATGGTGGACAAGCGGCGCTGCAGGGCCAGGACCCCGCCCAGGTCGCCGCCGCCCGACCGGGTGGCCTCGATGGCTTTCCTCTTCTCGCGCACCTGCGCCTTCATCTCGCTGCACTCCAGGAGGAAGTTCTGGATCTTCAGCACGGAGCTCAGCTGGCTCTTCTTGTCCTCCACCAGCTCCACCACCCGGTTCCAGCTGGCCATGGGGACAGGAGCAAGGTGAGACCCCCACCCAGGTGGGACAGGGACCACCAGGATCGGCAGCAACCCTTGGGATGGGTTGGGAATGGTGGCCTGGAGACCTGGAGCCCATGGGGACGTCCCACCACCGGAGAACCACAGGTGGAGGTCTCCAGACAGCTCCACACAAAGCTCCTCCCACCAAGGGGACCTCAGGAAGGTCGAGACTCATTTCATGACCCCAG